GAAAATTTCAGTGGTCTATAAATAACTAAAAAAAGTCAAACATTTTGAAAAATAAACTGTGTATAGATAACACTAACATAAACATTTGGTTAACATTTCAAGTATTTACAGTGAAAATTTCAAATCGAATAATAACCATATAAAAAAATCGATTTGGTCGAAAACTAGTTATGCGTGAAAATTCCCGTTTTTCTATCACTTTTTTTTTTTGTTTTTCTCGATTTTTTTTTTAAACTGTTGGAAAATGTTTACTTTTGACCTTTATTATAATGCACCAAGGATATTCACTTTTCCATCGGAAACCACCCCCAAAGTTTGAAATTGAAACATTATTTCGACTAGTTATGATGTAGGTACACCGACACAAAAAAAAACACACACACATCATTGTAAAATCAATACATTCATCACTCCGTTCAGAATCTAAAAACTGAAAAATTTTATAAGGTGTAATTTTTATATAAGGTGTACCGTTTGGGAAGCACTGACTGTTAGGAAAACTGATGAATAGTTGGAATTTAGATGTGGTGCAGTATAAGTTACTATTGGCGCTTTACTAAATACAAAAAAATGAAAAAAAAAATTTTATAACCATTTAATTAATTTAAAAAGAAAATTATATAAAAATTATTCATAAATAATTTTGTCACTTTTTATATTAATATTTTTACGTTATTTACGCTATTTTTATATACATTCATATTTAATGGTAAAATTATATAATGTAACATTCAATCATGTTTAAAAGTTTAGAAACCCATTAATCATCAATACATATATATAATATATATTATAGAGGACTTTGAACTGTTTTTACGTGTAACTTTTATCTAGGTGAAGCGTTATAATGTTGCATCATTACTCAAGTCTATATACATATTTTAAATAAAAATTTATTGATACGCATTTTAAAATAGCATATATCAGTGTTTCACAATCTGCGGTTAACAAYTCCGAGGTTTAATTTATTATTTATTTGTAAACAACACGTATGATAATATTATTATTTATAGYATCTATGATTRCATACATTTTTATATCTAAAACCTACTCACAGTTATAATTTACAAATAACACAATAATTATGTTTTTTTTTCGTAACAATAAATCGCCTTAGATATTCATTTGATTTTTAGATGTTTGTATACGAAATATTTTTTTAAATTATTTTATTGGTTWTCTTAGACCTAAAAATGAATATTTAAAAATAGTTACTTAAAATAATAAGCATAATATCGATACAAATATTGTTACGGTTTTCAATAATGAGTTATAAGTTATAACTTCTGAGAAAATATCAAATAAATATATTTGTATAATGTCTATATACAAATGACCTTTTGAAAATATATTTCATAGAGTATAGAGTTAATAATAATACCGTATGATCAAATTATATAATGGAATTAAATTACAATGATTAACACACATTATTTCTGTACAAACTATATAGTGTACATATAGTATATACATACAGTATGTATTATGTAATGTATGAAAAGTAATAACAGTTACGGTATTTTACAAMAATTTGGTGGAAATAGACGGTTGGAAACTTTCATGTCTGGCATCATACAACGCGTCATYTATTTTAACACGAGCTTTGTGACGAAGTGACCCTTCTCCAAAAATATATATAMCTATGCTTAATAAAGTTGACACTAACCTTTCTCCACTACACGTACTGTGCTTCTTTTCATATCATCAGCTATATTACAATATTATTTTTATGAATGTTATTTTATTATAATCCAGCCAACTATTCTCCATTAGTGCGCCACTATAACAGTAATTTATCTAGGTTTATGTATAGTCCTTTGTAATCGGCCGTATCACACGTACTTTAATTTCCTTTCATTTTAGGACCGTACAATTTTGCCTGTTTTGTGTTAAAACGCTATGAATCTTATGTTCACACTTGTCCCAATTTCACCCCGTACCCCCTTCGGGTACTATGTGRTTTCTATTAAATTAGATTCATGCTCACTTAAATTGACAGTAGATTAAGTTATTTCTCAAATATTATTTATATATTTTTAGGCAAATCCCGCATAACTCAACTGATATAACTTAAATAAATTTGGTTTTTATATTTACGTATATCAATATAATATTATCACTCGCATGATTATACAGGGTGTAACAATTAACACTTCACTATATTATATTTATACGTTTTTTGTTTGACATTTTTTTGATAGGCTTTCGGCCAAAGTCCGCAAAACTCGGTAGACGTACGGCCGATAATTGTGATGCCCTCTATACCCACAGCTGACGATCGAAAGAAGCAAACTGACAGTAATTCACCCCTGTCAAACGAAGTAGATCCAGCGTCAATGATGTCGCTGTTCAATGTGGCCGCCGCCAACAACGTGAGCGTTGAACAGCTGGCCATGGCTCTCCGACAACGGCAACAACAACAGACTTTTTACCAAACAGTCACCGATAATATAACTACACCTACTCCGACCACAACTGTTAGCGCGTTACCTACCACCACTACCACACCACAACCGCCGCCAGCACTTACCTCAGCATACTTTTCGGATGAGCAACAGCCGGTCGCTAAGAAAATAGCAATCAAACCATATAAGTCGAAATACTCGGGCAGCCACAAGGTGATGAACGCCCCTAAGGAATACTATCCTGTTGGATACGACAAGAACTTCGACGACAACTTTGTTTCCAAAGTYGACCTACCTGACACAACATTCAGTTGCGGCGACCAGAAACATTTTCCTGGATTGTATGGAGACGAGGATTTGGGTTGCATGGTAAGTGTTAGATTATTATTAATGGGTATTTAGGAAATAGGTTAACTTTTTTATATTAGTTTCATTGCGGAATTATTTCACAAGAATCAATTCCTATAATTAATAAATTGCGGGTACATAATATTATTATTATCACTTTCAAGTAAAATTAACATTGATAGAGAATAAAGATAATATTAAGATATTCATTTTTTTTTTTATTTATCACAATATAGTTTCTGATAAATTTAAGAAATTGATGATCTTCAAATGTCAACGATTGAGTGAACTGCATACGATTAAAAGAGGGCTAAATATATTTTTATTATTTATTGTCGCTTCGACTTAATTGTTTTTTTTCCATGAAAATAGCAAATCCACTCAAAACTGTAWATTCAAAAATTATATGATCACTTTAATGAATAATATGATCTATTATTAATAATATTTTTTAGTTAATACAATAAACAAAACATTAAATTTGTTACGATCTACCCTTGATTGTAATGGTTCTTATTATTTAATGCATAAATCAATTTGAGTGATTTGCATCTATTAAGTAGTTTAAATGCAAAATAAATGAGACTTATTTACAATTTATATTAATTTTATAATAACTACGTAGTACGTAATAAAGTATTAATACATATTTTATACGATTATATGTATTACATAATTTTTTCGTTTGTAAATCGTATCAAACAGAAATCCAGATTTTTCACATTAGTTTAAAAATATAAAACAACTAATGTACAATAACAATATTATGTTATCTTTAGTTATAACTCCTCGTTTGACGGTTGACCTGTTAAAAGACTTATGAAGATTTATGAATAGTTCATATATGGACATAATATATTTGTCACTATACCTACCGATAACGTATTGTTGTCTGTATATAATAAATGGATACGTGTACAAGTTATTCTGTTCTTGAAGATGAGGGACGTATTAAGTAGTATTCAATAGTAGGTATGTAATTAAAATTGATTACAGGGTGTAACTGAGTTGAACACTTCTAAAAGTAATCATGTTTTGTGCTCGTCCATAAATAAATTGATTGATTGGATTTTATTTTTGAGAAATAAATTTATATTTCCGAAGGAATTGTCATCAAGATCTATGTATAAAGTACATATTTGATTCACGTCTATCAGAATAATTTTTCATATTTTATACATTTATTATAAATATAAATGATTTATACATTATATCGTTTCACATACCTTTTATTCTAAGAGGTGCTCTACCTGAAATTTACTTTCAAACAACCGAATCCCCAACTCAAACTAAACACATTATAACTAATCTTAGGCAGGCATTTAACCTGGAGTCCTAAAAAATAAAAGAAAGGTTCTAAACACTAGACATCATTTATTACGCACTATTTTCAATTCCAAAATTTAGATTAACAGCAAACTATTACCTTATGGCTTATATATAAATCAATTCTAAAATCCATCTGAGCTTATGGTATCCAAATATTGGGATGTACCAAGCCTTCCTAAATTATTCGTAACGTTATTTTTTTTGTCCAATAAATTATATTTATTTAAATTATTGTTATTTCAGACTTCAGAACAATGAGGTTAAACCTCTCTTTTCTCAACCCAAATCATAAATGCCATTACAGG